CCCACTGCTGCTCCCCAGGGAGGAAGGATGGGCTGCTCCCAGGGACAGGGTGGTTTGCCATCAGCTTGCAGCATTCTGTGGGATCCAAAGGGTGCTTGGAGCTCAGTCCATGCTGTGGCCACACAAAAACATTTTCCCCATTTGCACAGAGGTGAGCCCTGGCTGCAAAATCCTCTGAGGATTGGATCACTTTGGTGGAAGTTTTGCCGTAGTTGCTTGTGTCCAGCATTAAGATGCTAGTTTAAATTTGGTTTAACGTCTGTATATGGTGCAATCACCCTTTGCTTGCAGTTGCAACATTTCCTACCAACATTTCATAGCTCTGGTTCTTGGCCACCCCATAAATTCTTCAAAGCCACAGTGTGCTGAATGTTAAAAATGAGTGAAAAGTTGTTCTTTTTTTCCTCTGACCTTTTCTGAGACAGTGTTTTCTATTAAATGATGCAGTACTGATCCTCATTTTCAAAGCTTATTTTCAAAGTATTTCAGTTTTAGAACACATTTAAAATGCGTATTTCATTTCTTTTTGTTGCGTGTGTACCCACAGCTAACAACAAATAAATAAATAATCATGGAGTGAAATCTAATAGAAAAAGTGCCTAGAGTTAAAAACACATTATTCCCTAGTAGAAAGAAAAATATATGCATGATTTACCATATCAGCATACTGGGATTTAATTTTGAGGTTTATGCAGAATTTTGTATATTTAGATGGTTGAAACTAATGGCTGTTTTTGGTTTTTTATTTTACTTTCAAAAAAAAACCATTTATGCAGTAATTTCCAACTTCAGGAAAGATTAATTAGATTAGCAAGTAACCAGCTATTGTTTTTCAGATTTTACAAACATGCAGCTCTGCTATTCAGCTGCTCCTTTAGTGTAAAACAGACTCTACTCTTTTTTCCCTGGCTTAGGAGGTTTTAGATAGAGTCATTGTGGGCTCAGATGATTTCCTGCCCCTGTTAACCTTCATTTTCCTTTGGTGACAGTGTTCCCTTCATCCTCTTGCATGTCTGGCTCCTGACCCCTGTATAACACAACTTTATCAGCTTCATCCTTCCTATTGCCTGGCTTATCAGGGATTCATTAACTGCAAGAGAACTTTGCCCCCTGTTCTTGCTGGAGGTGCAGAGATCTGTTCCCACGCCGTGCATGGCAATTTTGGGAAACATTTGTCTCAGTCCCGTGGCTGGAAAAGTTCATCTGGATGCAGACACACAGCTTAGACACTTCTTTCGTTCTGGAATATGGTAGTTTGAAAGTGTGGTACCATCTAGGGTCTGAAATGGCAAGAGTCAAGTAGTTTAAAAGGAAGGATTGGTCCCTCTGCATGTCAGACTGAGTGCTGTTATCACTTGTGACTCCACTATCAAATTTAATTTCCCTTCTTAGTGTATCAAGAGGATTTGAGAACACAGATTTTGAAAGGTGCTTGTGTCAAGCAACTTGGGCTTTGTTTAGTCATGAATGTCTAAGTTAATTCCAAGTTAAACATCCATCCCTCAAAAATATATTTTTGGATAAATTTGACAGACTCTACGTCTTTTGTACAGCTTCAGCTGTCTCCTGAATTGAAATGGTGGTACAAAAATGGCTGGTTCAGAACCACTGCTCTTGTCCTCTCCTGATCCAAAGGCCTTAAAAGTCCTCGGGAAGGTCTCCCGTGACTCACACTTGGAATACTTAAATGGATGATGTGTGTCAGATGGGATTTTGGTTCCAAACTTGACACCCAAAACGCAGTTTTGGAGTAGGTGGTTTTTCAGATTTCTGCAGCCGAGATGATTGATGATGAGCAAGCTGAGTGTCCTCATCTGATTAGGATGTGATAAAATACATAAGCCAAAACCCCAAGGGGCTGGATTGGATGGCTGATAACATAAGGAGATATTCTCAATTACAGAACGCAGCCTAGCAGCTGTTCCAGACAGTTGGTCCCGTTGAAATGGCAATGGAGTCACAAATGCTCCTCCCAGAAGGTTGGATCTCCAGTATCCAACAAGTGCTTTATTCACACCATAAATAAATCCAAACTGGATTACATGGCCCATTCACCTTTCTGTTTTGATTTCTGAGTGCTAAAGTTACTTCTGTCAGAGCAGATGCCCATCCTGCAGTAGGAGGGTTTTCAAAGTATTCATTATGGAGCATAATTACAGTTAAAAGAAAAATGCAATTAAAGGCAGCCTGCAATCAATTGAGTTTAGAAAACTGAATTTCTTAATTGCCCAAATGTAATTCAAGGCTGTTAGTCTTTCACATAACTTCTGTCAAAGATGTTGCTGAATCTGAGACAAAGCTTTGCCTATTAACAATTGTGTATTAATTGCTGGCAATTTTATAAGTATGAAGGTACTAGCTTGACCCAACCAGTAGTTAGTGCATATGTGATTGATACATATATGTATATATACTCTATGTGTGATATGTCACATATTCCTTTAGCATTTGTTTAGTTGCTGTTTCCTATATAGTGCTTTATGGAAGAGGCTTTTGAAGCTTCCAATATTGTCTATTTTGGAATATTAGACATGAGATGTGAATATCTCTTGTTTTTTTGGCTTAAGTAAGGGGTCAAACTGAACAGGCTTTAAGATTTGCAGTGAAACTTGCTTAAATGAATTGCTCTTTGGAAATAATACATTTCAAATAAATAAATTACTCTTTGGAAATAATACATTTCAATGTCAGCTAAAATGAAATATTTCTCTTTGTTTTATACATAAAAGATGTGATTGTTACCTTTGCTTAGGGGAAAAAAATGACAGCACAAACTTTCTCCCAGACTTTGGAATAAATGCTGTATTTTTGTATTATTTGTATAACTGCTAAATTGTCCATGTAACTTAGAGAAGATGAAGTGTGGGTGGGAGATGGAGGTCACTGTGTAAACTCTTCTGTTCAAGGGTTGTTTTTGCAGTAAAAAGTATAGCGTAAGCTGTGCCACTGGGACAAACTTCAACTACTGGGTGTATAAAAGGGCCCCCCAAGTTTGAATTCCAGGTTTTTAACTCCTTCCATGGTCTTAATCCTGGAAATGAATGGTGTCTCTAATAAAAACAGAGTTAATGCATCTCTGTTTGACCAATGCAACACGATTTGAGCCTATGAGAAAAACACCCTGCTGTTTTCTCCCTCTTATGAAAGTTGAAAGCTTTCAAAGTCAAGGTTAACTCAGTAAAATATACTGTAGAATAACTATGAAACTAGTCTGAAGTTCTCTCTCGTTTGTTTTTTTTTTTTTTTTTTTAATTTTGATTTTTTTACTGTGGTGTTGGACCCTCGTTCAGTAGTCCATTGGCCACAGTTCATTGTGCCAGGAATATTGGAAGGGACTTCCCAGTTTATTGGAAAACTTGGTTGCTCAGAGTGTCTCCCAGTCATAAATCCTAAAGCAAATAAGTAGATACACATTTAGATGGAAATAAGGATGATACTCTGATATCTGTCTTGTGTAAATGCAAAATGCAGAAATCAAAATGGGAAAATTCCACTTCCCTCTGTGGTATTAGTCATCATGAGAGCTTGAATGCAAATATAGAGCTTCAATTTATTAAGGATTTGGGGATCTGAAACACATTCCAACAGGATTTGAAAAGCATACAAGAACTGTGCCAAACAGATTACATCTAGAAATATCAGATGTATGTTACCCTTCAAATGCTGGGAAAAGGGAAAAAGGTGCAAAAGAGACAAAGGTTTTTTCTGGTATGGAAAACTCCAGAAACTCCAGTCTTTTACTGTTTGATAATATAATTAGCCAGTGTTTTGACTAGACTGATTTGATAATGATGCATAGAAAAGGGCAATTTAATCTTGGCTCAGTAACTAGGAATGTTTGCCTCATTGCTTTCTATGTCTTAATTTTTACTTTAAATTAAATGTCTTCAACTTCTGAATGTTTTATATTAGAAACCTTCCTTTACAAATTTTCTATTTTGAGCCACTAATTAATGCACAAGTTAGTTATATCATGGGATTGCAGTAGATCAGGAGCATATTTTTGTTCTCTTTCTGCATCTCGAAAACTCCCAAACCATTTGTGCATTGAGAGGGACATACACATTTCTTATCCTTTCTCAGATGTTTCTATTAATTTTCTGATGGTCCTTGTGCTCTTATTCCCTAAATATTTGTATTTCCATTTATTTGTATGTCATCTATCTTGTGTGACAGGAAAAAAACAACACTGAACCAACACTTGCTTTAGGAAAATATCTGTTGATTGGAGAGGAAATTAAACCTGTATGCAAAGGCACGTGCCTTGTGGTCCGTACTTCCCTTGCTCAGGAAGGTGATGTGCCCACAGTTGTTTAATTCCATGTTCAGTCAGGATGCTTCTTGTAAATAAAAAAATGTCCAGAGTTATGTTTGAAGGGTAATAAGAGGTGGAGAGTGTTGTGTAGAGACAGTTACTCAGCTCCTGTTTGGTGGATGAGAGTAGCAATAGGCAGATTACTCTGAGTTTCCCACTTCGATTACTTTCTGATGTTTCTCTCAAGCATCTGTTAGTCTTGAGGGTTCTTAAAGTAGGTGTGCCCCTGTTTTGGCCAGAATAACAATCCTCTGCTTGGATTTAATAGCAGGCTGATCTCTGGGAAACTTCAGGAGGACTCCACAGGGCTCGTTTAGTTCCATCTGTGACTTCTCTTCCACTTCCTTTTATCTTCTTGGGGTCAAAAAAGTCTCCAATTTACTTCAAACTGGTGAAGCATTGAACCACTCCTTTTGTAATAAACTTGCTGTTTCCATTTTGGATTCTACAGAACCCTTCTGTTGCTTTGAAAGACTGAGTTTGAACAAAGTAATTTATCCACCTGGTGAGTGCCAAACTCAATTTAGCCTGGCAAGGACAAAAGCACTGGAGGGACAGGAGGGTTTGATCTTGTATTCTGTTATCTGATAGAAAGATTTTAAGCAGATGCAGGAATTGCTGTATAGCCTTCTGTGCTCACCAGCAGGATATTTCAGATCAAATAATGCTTTTTATTCCTTTCCAGGGAATCAGTAGCCTCTTCAGCTCCTTGAAAGTGGTGCGCCTTCTACGGCTGGGCCGGGTGGCCAGGAAGCTGGACCATTACCTGGAATATGGTGCTGCCGTGCTGGTGCTGTTGGTGTGTGTCTTTGGGCTGGTGGCCCACTGGCTGGCCTGCATCTGGTACAGCATTGGGGACTACGAGGTGATCGATGAACTGACCAACACCATCAAAACAGACAGCTGGCTCTACCAGCTGGCCCTGAGCATCGGCACCCCGTATCGCTACAACAGCACGGGCTCGGGCCAGTGGGAAGGAGGGCCCAGCAAAGACTCCTTGTACATATCCTCCCTCTACTTTACCATGACAAGCCTTACAACCATAGGATTTGGGAACATAGCACCCACCACTGATGGGGAGAAGATTTTTTCGGTGGCCATGATGATGGTTGGCTGTAAGTAAAATCTCGTTTTCTTGTGTTTAAGGGAAGTTCTGTGGCCAGTACCCTGCTCGTATAGTGCACTTGCTTTAAGCTTTCTTGAAAAGACCTGTGTTACCTGTAAATAATAATGAAATGAACTTAGAATTCTTGAAAACGGGTATTGAAATAATGTAGTTACTGTACCTTTTAAATTGCTGTCAAGGCTAAGTGGTCTGGGTACATAAGTGTGCCCAATGGCAAGTTTATACCTGAGGCCTCACCTTTGCACTTTAAATATGGCTTTTAACATGTTTGTAAGGTCTTTGCTAGAATTTGGTTAAAAGTTACAAAGTGTATATGAATTCAGGTAGTCTGAGTTTTGCTTATAAACTTACACAAGCCTGGAATTGTTTGATGTGGTTTTACCCAATTCTTGAAACATTTAGTGGTTCCATAAATTGATTGTTTGCTTTATGGCACTGCTTTGAGATATAAATCCTGATTTTATCTTCTGAATGTGGTGTCCTTTGTCACCAGCAAAGCTAGAAGTGAAGGAAATGGTGAAACAATATATTGCACCTTTTTTTCTGCTTCCTGCTGTTTCACAGCTCTCCTGAAATTGTCCAAAATCAGGAGTGGTAAGGCACAACTCTCATTTCATGTGCTGCCAAGGTTATATCACTGAGGGGCTCTACAGATAAACAGAAATTTTCAAAATATAGTAGACACAACTCAAAATGTTAATACCATTTGGAGAATTATTTTTCTGTTAAATCAGTAACTCGTGGTACTTCTCTGGTGCTTTCTATTTGCTGAGCACCTTGCAAACACTAAGCAATTATGTAACAAGAGAACAAACAAAACCTTTTGATAATAAGATCTGCATAATCTCTCTGATAATTATCTCAGCTAACACTTTAGAGCTCATCTCTGAGAAATACTGAAATATAAAAGGGAAGTTTTCCTGCCACAGTCTTTCTAGATCTTTACAAGATTAAAGACATTTGTTTGTAGATTTTAAAATGCTTTTTTAAAAGAGAGGTTGCAATTTTAGGACTCTTTCAGCATGGTGCAATGAAATTTCTGCTGAACACCATCTTTATATGATGGGTTGATGTGTTGCAAAACATCTCCAAGTCCATAAAAAAGCAAATCCCCAAGCCAGAGCACTAGTGAGCTAATGCAGATAGGTCATCAAAAGCCCATAGGAACTGATGTGCTGTTTGTTGACAGTGATTTGTGGTATTTACAGAACCTGGGGATTTGGAGAATAAAGTGGATATAGAACATTTTTATGCATTGCAATATTTGCTTCCCTCTTTTTTTTAATTGTTTTTGTTTGTTTTGTTTTTGTTTGTTTGTTTTTTGTTGTTTGTTTGTGTTTTTGTGGTTTTTTTCTGTTTTTTGTTTGTTTGTTTTTGTGGTTTTTTTTTGTTTTTTTTTCTTTTTGTGGGGACTTGTCCTGTTGAGGGCGATTTGACAAGAAACAAAACCAAAAAACGAAGTGGTAAATGACTTAAGGTGTGATGAGAGCCATAAAAACATGATGAATGCCACTCCTACTATTTATGATGATAACAGCAACAACAAAATACATGCATGGCCTCAGCAGGTGAAAGGAAAGGGATATTGTAACCTGCTTTGTGTCTGTTCTAGGGGGGTTGCTTCCTTGCTTTTTCATGTCTAAAACTCATCCTAAAGGCGGGGAATACAAAGTAGGAGGATCAAAATTGACACTGGCAACAGCCTGTGTATGTGGCACTGGCTAATAATTTCCATAAGCATTACCTACAAAATTACTAAATGTAGACATCAACTTTATAAGTAGCAGCTGCGAGTTTAGCAGTTGGGCAACTGTGTGTAGTATTGTAGGCTTTTAGATGATCTAAAATTTAGAGGATCTAAAATTTAAGAAGTATGGCAAAGGGAGTACTGAGTTGCTTATTGCATGAAAATAATAACACCAAAATAAATGTGCCTGCTCTTGCGAGAGGGGTGAAGAGCACTGTGGCAGGCAGGAAGGCTGCAGACAGGAGAAACCTTTTTGGTTTATTTACAAGTAAAATTTACAAGTAAAAGTGCTCAATTATCATGAAATAGTGAATCTCCTGCAACAACATCAATGCATATTTGAAGATTTCTAATCCATGCACATCAGTGTGATGAATGCTCCTGACTGAAATCCAAACCTTGATTGATCTTTTTCCACTGGTTAGAAAATAAACTAGCTTTGGAACAGGCACTGGTCATGGGCTTAATATTGCAATATTTGTGCAGAGAGATCAGACCTGCAGGATTTTATAGACATGTTTTGCAGAGCTGGCTGCTGAAAGCCTGGGACTCTGAGCTCCAAAATGAAACAGGGAGGCACAACAAATAGTTGATGGAAAATGCAATTTCCCAGGCATTCAGGGTGTCCACTGAGTTCTGGAGAAGGATTTGGCCTCATGAAAAGGTGTAACTAAGAACGGAGTTATTTTCAAACCAAGATATTCTAGTTTCTCTTTTGAAACAGTGTTTTGAGATAAACATTCAGTAAAATTCAATTACAGTACAGTCAATAAATATGTCTGGTCCACAAACATGCTCCTGTTATAAGCAGAGAGAGGCTGTGAAATACCTTTGGTAGTTCTCCTGAAGAAGTTTGCTTATACCATTAGCTGATATTGGCAGTGTTTGTTTTTTTTTTTTTTTTTTTTTTTTCCCTAACAGACTATGCCAAATAAATGTTTCAAACTTAGCACTGGAATCAGAGATAGTAATTCATCACAATCCCAGCTGCCTACTCATGCAAACTGCAGATAGGAAAGGAAATCTTGCCAGCCTTGTCAGCGAGCTGCAGCTTCTTCTGAAAGCCCCAAGTTTCCTATTCATGCTGGTAAAGTTATCAGGACCTGGGAGGAGTATTTGGAGAGATTTGCAAATCCTTCTGGTGGGCAGGATTGCAGGATGGTGTTCTTGTTAAAAATAGGCAGATTCAGATTCTGTAGGTGCTAATGAAGCATTGCTTGGTGCGGGGCAGGGGCGGGGGAAGCTCTGATGGATGGGGAGTTTTTCAGTGGGATTGGCAGCTTGTCACTTGCTTCTTCACTGAGGACAGATCGAGTGGGATATTTAAGCTGAAATACATCACCTGTCTTGCAGGAAAGAGAGCTTTGAATAACTTAACCTCATCTTGTGGAGCTTGCTTCAGATTTCTTTTTGCCTCACTTGCTTTATCTTGGTGTCCAGTGCTGCTTAGTATTTTTTTTTTTCTGTTGCTTCTTGACACTTGAAAAGCTAAAAATAGCAAACAAAGCATCCTATGACAACAGAGCAAGGTTTTTACAAGGGTTGTTGTTTAAATACCTATTGTGCGTTTGCTGCCTAGGGTTGCTGAATGTGCATTGAAAATCTGATTTTTGTAACGCCTTTTGTGTTGATCTAGGTCATTTCATCCCCTCTCTGTGCAGAGCAGAACAAATAGGTAGGCCTGTCAGATCCTTTGACTGCAGCAGGAATCATTTATCATTCAGAGAGGACCTTTGTTGTAAACCCCCCATTATCTTCTGTCAGCTCAGAGCCTCCAAATCCCAGCCTGTGCTGCTGCGTGTTGCTCTGCTTCTGTCCACAAGCAGCTCTAAGGCTCCTGCAGCACAGCCATAGATGCTGATGTAAAACTGACTGGGTTAGTGTCTTTCACAAAAAATAAAAACCCAAAAACCCAAAAAAACCACCACCACCAACCCAAAAAGTCAAAAAAACCACGAAAAAAAATCCCAAATCGTATGAAGAAAGAGAACAGAAAGAAACTTTTGGTGCATACACCATCACTATGTTGCACAGCCAGGCCTTTAGTGATCAGAAAATAAGGGAGAAAGCGTTTTGGGGAAGGTGGCAGTGTGGTTGGGTGAAACAGCTTGAAAAGTTCAGGAGAGATGGGGTTTTTTGAAGGAAGAAGTGAATGTTTAAACAATAATACACTCATGATTTCTTCCTTCCTGTACTTGAACTGTGGGAACAGCAGCCAGCCTCCCAAAGTCCTTGTTTAGGCAGGGATAGAGTTAATTTTATTCCCAGGAGGTGGTACAGTGCTATGTGTTGGATTTAGAATGAGAAAGATGTTGTTAGAACACCGAGGTTTCAGCTGTTGCTGGGCAGTGCTTGCATGAAGTCAAGGACTTTTCTGCTCCTCGTTCCCTGCCAGCGAGGAGGCTGGGGGCACAGGGAGCCATGAGGGGACACAGCTGGGACAGCTGGCCCAAACTGGCCCAAGGGACATTGCACACCATATGGCATCATGCTGAACAGTACAACTGGGGGGGCTGAGGGGGACTGGTCAGCAGGCAGTGAGCAATAGCATTGTGCATCATTCGTATTTTGTATTCTTTTTTCATCATTATTATTTTTTCCACTTCCTTTTCTGTCCTGTGAAGCTGTTCCCATCTCAACCCTTGAGTTTTGCCTTTTTTTTTCTGATTCTTTCCCGTATTCCAGTGGGGGAGAGGGAGTGAGCAGGTGGCTTGGGGGAGTTTTAGCTGCCTGCTAGGTTAAAGCACAACACCCGGCCTGGGGCTCAGAGGGTCTCTGACACATTTCATGCTGCTGGTGGAACCTGGAATAATGGGTTTGGCCCTGTCCATGTGCAACAGTGAAATGGCTCTGTGTGGCACAGAGCAGATTGCAGCATCAGCCTGGCCCCATAAATACAGCAATTACAGGAATTTATTTGTCCAGCTGAGTGCACCTGGCATATACATCCAGGCAGTTGGAGAAATCCAGTATATTCCACTGGTCACTGAAATGCTCTGATCATCTGTGCAGCAAGGGAATATCAGAATGAGATACTGAAGGCAGGAGTGTCAATGAGCATTGAATAATTCACTGTTTCTCAGGCTGTAAAAAACTCAGAAGAATCTCTTAGTTATCCATTGGTCCCCAGAATAGCTGAGCAAAGGGTGCTTTGTTGTTCTTCCTTCAGGGAAATACTTTTATTTATATACATAATTACTTTGGCTTCTATTTACTCCAGTTTTATGGGGAGATGGTTGTGG